ATTAGGCTTCTTATGAATTTTAGTGGAATTGTGCGGACTTCTAGTTTTCTTGATAATATGCAGTCACCAGCCTCCCCTGGGTCCAGCTGGCTAAGAATCTGGATTCTTGACCATGGGGTTTGGGGTTCAAAGGCTGGTGAGAAGGATGAGGATCCAAATTCCAAAGATAAAAAAAAAAGATAATATGCAGTCATCTGCCTGCACGTGGTACTCATTATTAATTTCTAGCATCCTTAATGATAACCTTTTTGAAGTTATAGTCAATTAGTCAATAGTCATATATTTTTATTTAAGTGGATTTATTAGACACCCTATCCCAATTACGTGGAACCCAGACAACAGTACTAGTGTTTCTACGTGGAGAACTTGCAAAACGGTACGACTGTTTCTTTCACGCTTCCTCTCACTGAAGTTAATAAAGTTACGAGTTTTGGATGTTTTAAAATTTTATATTAAATAACTTGTCAATTTTAATTTTAATTTTAATTATTTGAATTTTAAAAATCAAAACAAAAAAACTAATAAGCACAATCAAACAAAGCCTTATTTCTCCATATGCAGTTAGATTAGGAAACGTTCAGTGAGAATAATATAAAGTGCAGGATATCAACAAGAATGAAGTTAAATGTGTACACATAATACGCAGTAAGGCAGAAGTACCAAACCGATGTTCAGTAGCGAAAAAACGTGCATGTTGATTAATTTGGTGTTATTTTGCTTTCCTTTCAAGCAACCATGGGCCCCATAAAATTAGGTTTGTGTAGTTTTCTACATTAAATTTGGGCCTTCATCTTCTACACTATTTTATTTGTTTGCATAATTTTGTAATGACTTTTCTCATCAATTGATTTTGATGTGAGTAAAATTCTAATGGGTGCCTTCGGTGTTTGGAGTGGGGATTTAATTCCTATCACTTACTACAAAACAACATGTTTTACAAAATAATCAAATGCTAAAATACCTTCCCACTCATGAAATAATCACCCAAGTTTTTCACTAAACAAAACGATCTGGAGGGACCTTCTTAACCATTACCTTGGTTTAGTTCTCTCCACACTTGTGATAAAACGTTGTAACCTGACCTGGTTGTGTAATTACCATTTTTTTTCATGTTTCCAGACCCAACTATCATCTCTTCCTTGGGTTGGCTTGTACGTGTTCATTCAGGTTTGACATCAGCCGCACACAGAATTCTTCCTCCCAACTAAACAGCTGCTTTCTTCAAGTCAGTTTCCACTGAACAAAAAAAAAATTGTCCATGTGATATGCTAATGACTGATAGTGTCGTGAAACAAAGTTTGTCCTTGTTTTCTCTATTGCCATCTATTTTAACAATAAAAGACATCCTCCCTCATCTCTTTATCCATTTCACTGGTATATCTATAACTTCAATATAAAATTTCTTTATGTCTTTTATGAAAAAAAATTACTACAAGAACACTTTAGTCGTTCACTCTTTGTGGCCGTCTTAATTGGCAATATACATATATTTGCCAATCTTTTTCTCGTCACCTTAATCATATCCTCTAGCTAGGTTCTTATATTCCAACAAAAAGCATATATACTAATATATTAGTGGAAACGTTAATTAATGGAGATTTTTGAAAGGTACCTGTCTTTCAAAAGCAATCCTTCATCTTCATGTGTCTAACAACCAAATGGGATCAGATTAAGAAATTATGTCAGTACTTCAATAGTGGTGGTGGGGTGGGGGTTGGTGGCCGTCCCCACAAGACTATAGGGGACACCAATGAGGGCCCAATTTGTTTTAATACTACTAAAATACAAAAACTGAGACGTAAGCTTCTGTATTAAATTTGCAACTGGGGCATATACGATTCTCTACAAACGACAGTCAGGAACAAAAAAAAAAAAAAGAAAGAAATATTTGGTCGCTCCTAAATTTTCTTGTGAATCTTTAATTAATTAATCTTCTTCCACTTTTGAAATGCTTCCTTCAACTCCTTTTTTTGAATAAGTCCCATATGCTGCTCGTAGTGGCTTTTTACATTCACCTGTGCTGCCGAGGAAAAATCCCACCAAGCGTAACAGTATGCCCATATTTTCCAAGAATAGAGACAATTAAACAATAAGTGGTTCAGGGATTCCTCCTCTGTTGAGCACCTGCTGCACATAATTTTTGCCCTGTCGATGATTATTCCTCTTTTTGCCAAGTTGATTTTTGTCGGTAATCTATCGACGAAAGCTCTCCATGCTAGTGCTGCAACCTTTAGTGGTGCTTTACTCTTCCAAATCTGGTTGAGACAGCCATTGTCCTGTGCGCATTGGGATTGGGTGATCTGGTGGTAAGCTGACCTTGTTGTATAATTCCCTGTGCTTTCCCATCTCCATGTCCAGTGGTCCTCTTGCCCTTGCTTCAGATGAACCTGGCTCAAAATTCCTGTTAATTCCTGCAATAAATTATGTTCCCATACAAAAAGGTCCTATGCCAACTCCACTGCCATTCTCCTACTCTTTCACTGTCACTTTTTACTTCAACTATTGTATCACTTTTGTTTGTAGCTAAAGGGAATAATCTTGGGAATCTCTCTTTTAGGCTCACTCCTTCTATCCACACATCTTCCCAAAATAGTGTCTCCTTGCCATCCCCTATCGTTCTAACACACCCATCCTTTAGCCATCCATTGTTCGAACTATCTATTCTATCTAGTTTCCACACTCCTCTCCACCATGCTGATCCCTTCTCGTTCTGCACACACCCATCCCAACCCCTTTCCCTTGCCGACCCATATTTCTCAAAAATAACCCTCCTCCACAATGATTTTTTCTCCCTCAAAATCCTCCACTTCCACTTTCCTAGCAAAGCTTTGTTAAAACTCTCAAGGTTCCTAACTCCTAGACCTCCCTCTGATTTTTTCCTACAGACCTCCTCCCATTTT